AGCTTCCTTAGGCGGGTGGTATGGAAGTGATTTAATTTCCTGGCATGGCGTCGGTACACAGTCCATGTCTCACACGCAACAAGAGTGTTGGGAGTACGATGGCTTTGTACACCTTAAGTTTTGTCTCCATACGGATCCCACTTCTGTTCCAGACACTGTCATGAAGTCTGCCAAATGCAGCACTTGCCTTTGCGATCCTGGAATTGACTTCATCGTCAATATTAGCATGCTGATTGAGGGTGCTTCCCAGGTAAGTAAATCTGTTGACAGCATTGAGTTTTGTGTTTTTGACTGCAATGGTGGGTTCCACATAGGGTTTGCCTGGTGCTGGCAGGTGCAGTACTTCCGTTTTCTTTGTGCTGATTGCAGGAGCAACGTCCCACTGCTTGTTAACGTTATATTTACGAGAAAGGATAAAAATCGTCCTTTTTGTCCTTTTATTAAATCAACATTCGTTCATAAACAAAATCACTTTAAAAAGATGATGAGGTTTTAACTATATAAGGCCAAATGCCTAGATTTTGACCTCAGCTTATTGAACGCACATGAAATTCTTTACTCTTGTCCCTTTAGGAGATGTGTGGCGGCTGTATAATAAATTGACGTTTACACTTGTTCATTCTGGAATGAGGTTGACTTTTTTCTTAGGGTGCCCACAAGAACGTCATGTGATAGATATTACTTACTAGTTGAAGTTTATATTGCATGGGTCTTTTTACCTCTGTCTACTTTGCTGACATTGAATGGCTTGTTTACCGGACGATTCATACTATTTTAGACAGAAGTATATACAGGCAAAGTTTTAGAACAATATATCTTATTAGCTTTGTTCAGGATTGTTCGTGTATAAAAAGATTTTGATATAATGATAATCATTATGTCTTGTTGTACGTTTTGGTTGAATGGTCTATAGATCGTGCGAGCATCGATAGATTGTCGACCGTCACTCGGGCGACGTACGCCCGTGTGTCGAGCGAGCTTCGGCCGACTCCTGTCTGGTTAAAAAGGTGGTCGTTGTGTTAGTGTAGATTTGTGGCTCTTGTGGTAGTATTTGAGTTGGATCCTTCACAGAATTCCTGTTTGTATTTCTATTTTATTCTGCCAGTCCGCTCCATTACTTTGCTTTAAAATAAATAACGACAGGTCAAACATAAAAATTGGTCAAACTATTCATTTTTGGTGGATACACGGCCTTACTTCATCTGCGCGCCATGTTATAGGGACTTCATTATCATAGATGTATTGCCAAAAGATCGCCCGAGCCTCGCACAATGTGACTGCGACGATTTTCAAGCCAAAAATACGCGCGATCGTCGGTCGATCTCAAAATCGGCCGATCTTTCGGCGATTGACAAATACGGCCGAAGCTCGTCGACAATGTGACGGGGGTATAAAGGCATCCGTTAGCATCGCTGTGAACATGATGCTAAACAACGTCGGGGCTAACACACACCCCTGCTTCACGCCATTTGTGACAGGGAATGCATCAGATAGTGTGTCGTTGTCTCGCACACATGCCTGCATACCATCATGGAATTGCCTTACAAGAATGATGAATTTTTGGGGACATCCATATTTCGCCATGATCTTCCACAGGCCTTCCCTACACACAGAGTCAAATGCCTTGGTTAGGTCGACATATGTAGAGAACAAGTCACAGTTCTGCTCCTGACATTTTTCTTGCAACTGTCTTGCAGCAAAGACCATGGAGACGATTGAGGAGAACCCTCGCAAGTATCTTTCCTGCTACAGAGAGGAGAGATATGCCTCTATGGTTGTCACAGACCTGTCGGTTTCCTTTGCGCTTGTATAGGTGTATTATTGTTGCATCCTGGGGGATTGTCTCTAGCTCCCATGCAATGATGAACAGCTGGTGAAGTTTGTCACTCACAGCTAGGCCACCTTCCTTGTAGACTTCAGCAGAGATCGAGTCTCGACCAGGTGATTTCCCAGTTGACAGTTGGCTTATGGCCTTCTGTGTTTCCAATAAGGTATGGGGCGCAGCAAGTTCGTCGTCTATGGGGACTTGAGGAAGATGATCAATTGCTTCATTGTTGATTTCTGAAGGGCGATTTAGTACATTGTCAAAGTGTTCTGCCCATCGCTTCAGGATGTCTTCCTTAATCAAAGTATTTCCATCTGCAGTGAGCAGAGGAGACAGTCCTGTTGATGACGGTCCATAGATTTCTTTTAGGCCATCATAGAACTTCTTCAGATCGTGTTTGTCTGCATAGCATTGGATTTCATCAGCTTTGTTTTTAAGCCAGGTGTCTCGCATCTTACGTAGCTTGCCCTGAATTGTGTTTCTTATAGTGGTATATGCATCTTTCTTAGATGTATCCTTTGTATCTATTATATATGCTCTATGCAGTCTGTGTTTCTTATTTAGCAATTCTTGGATCTCCTCGCTGTTCTCATCAAACCAGTCCTTGTGGTTTCTGCTTATTGGTCCGAGAGTTCCCAGAGCTGCGCTATGGATGGCATCTTTGAGGTTTTTCCAGCTGGTTTCTATGTTCTGGTCATCTAGTGAGACTGTCTCGAGGCTGTCCCTAAGCTGGTTTACAAACTGCTGTTTTATTTCGTCATTCTTCAGTTTACTGGTGTTGAGGCGTTTTGCAGGTTTCATCCCCTGTGGGTGCCTCTTGGGTTGTATGCGGACACGCAGCTTGGAGATTATCAAACGATGATCAGTCCAGCATTCAGCACCACACATAGACTTGGTAATACACACATCTTGTCTGTCTTTCTTCCTGACAATGATATAGTCGATCAAATGCCAGTGTTTAGACCTTGGGTGCATCCATGATGTTTTATGTCTAGTTGGTAGCTGGTGCTGAATTCGGAAGATTCAAGGACGAGAAAAGGGGGGAGTAGTGTAACGGTGGAGACCTCCGGACTGCGGTGTCCAACCTCGGAATTCTGGCTCCAGACTGACCACGCGGTCCGGGTTTTGGGATTATAAGGGACAACTATTTTGCAGGGTAAGAAGGGATCTGATTTGCTGAATTAAGGGTGTTCCACGTGGGTTTCGGTCACAGAGGTGACGTCATGGACTACATGACGTCATGAGGGAGAAGATTCATTTGCTACACCTACTGATAGTATCATATGTGACACTATATTTTATAATACTGTACCATTAGGCTCCCCCTGAGACGTACCAAAAAACAATAGAATAAATCAATTCTAAAAGCCTGTATAAAAAAAGTAGAACGTCCTTGTAAAAAAAGGAAAATAAATAAGTCTGGGGGTACTGGTCCACTCTACCCCCGTACCAAATTTTTGGTCATTTGGCTGAATCCATTTAAAAAGTAACAAAAGAAGACGATGAAGGAGAAGAAACATGAGTAAAAACAATATGCCTTTACCACACCACTGAAGTCATAATAACACTGCTGTAAGTCTTGGTAGGTAAGCCCTAATGTCCAGGTTTCATATTCCTGTATTTGCATATAAATGGGTAACATTGAACAACAGACCCTGTTCAAAATTAAATTTTTATACATACCAGCAACGTTACCTCAAGTATACAAATTGTACACAAAAATACGTCTAAAATGTTGACAAAATCAACTTGTAAGATATACATGTACATGTACAGGTACTGTTAGTCGCAAAAATACAAATATGATGGCTACAATGAAAACAAAGAACAAATCTCTTAAACATCAAAGGGACATAAAAGCAAGATTATGCAAAATACTAAAAATGACTGATTCTGGACATAACAGTCGTTTTTCATAAGTCTACATTCATGGTAATTGTCCCTATCAGTGTGTAATACACTACCTTTTACATTGGTCCATTATTTTAACCGAAGTCAGGGTTATTGCTGTATTGCAATATGCCAGCAATTTACATGTAATAAGCAAGGTTGACATCTTTAGGTTGTCAGAATTAACATCCATTTTTGGTAATGATGAATTTTTATCACGTCCTGTAAGTAATGCAGGCTACAAGTTCCCTTTTGTCACAAAACCCATCATTTATCTTTGATTCAATGTTTCAAATGGTAGCATAATGATACAAACTTAAATGTTAAAATGATACCAAGTAGACAAACAACAATTCACATCCTTAGCCAGCATAGGTAGCAAATTTCTATTAGTGTCGATCAGTGCACATACAAAGATTGTATTCTCTAAAACACTTCTACAATTTTTAGAAAACCCTGGCTAAAAGCAAAGTTTGTTTGTCCAGCTATGTTGACTAAATAAGGGAAATAATAGAACAAATATGCTAGTATGAATTCCAGGTACTGATCTGAATTCCACACCTTCCAATGACATACATGTACATGTACTTCTCCAAAAAGAGTCAGACAGCACAAAAATTAATAAGGATATGATGACACAGAGATGTAGATGATGAAAGTTGTTTGGTACTCAATACGACTTTCGTCATATGATATAGCACGCACTCTCATTTGAAAGGACCGAGCTTGGGTTAAGGGCCTTAATGTATAAAGTACACCTGTACCCTTATCTGGTCGTAATGCAAAAGGTAAGTTACTTTCTTGCTCAGTTATGGAAAATGTTGTTTTAGGGTGTTGTCTGCCATCCTCAAAGTAAGCTATGAGTCGTAGTAAGTCTTGATTAGCATCAATGCCATAGGGCAGGGCCAGGGTCTTGTACTCCACAGCATAATCTGTTGGGCATCTGTAGTCTGCAGGGTTACAATCTCTTATGCAGTACCTAATAAACAAGGCAACAAATGTCATCATTTTCTCGTGGACTTATACTGGTGCAATCAGCAGATACATGTAAATCTCGTACAATTCTGGAGTGTTTCTACCAGAACAAAATGCATATATCGAAAGAAGAGGATCTATGGATGTATTGACATGCTTAATTGTCATTTGATGTTTGATGAGTATTAAAACTTAGGAGAATAAAAATTAAAATATTCCAGCAGTCTTAAACGACCCCCCCAATCAGTATAAATTTATCAAAGATCTAGAGTTGGAACTATCACTGTGTACATGACATTGACAGACAGGACAATTGACAGTCTTTGACCTGTCCAACAACACCATGAATTCTTAAAAAATGGACTGCACAATCCTATCTTGCAGAAGTTAGAGGACACAAACCCTGTTGAAGATTCTCTCCTGTAGCTGGGTGGGCATGGAGAGTCCACACACTCATAATCACCTCGCCGATTAAAACACAACCTGTTTGGTCCACAGTTGATATCTTTTTCGATACATTCATTGATATCTGCAAGAAGAACAGATCAAAAAAATGATTGATCAATTTGATGCAACTTGTATCACTTATATTGTAATCTTCTACCAACTTTGGTAACCTGTTTTATACTGTCTAAATACTTACTCTTAGCAAATAATATGTTCATCATTCATGTAAGGATTTTAGCCATAATTATTGCTTTGATCTGACCTGTGACCCCAATGCTTAATTTTTAACTCTGCTTCGTATGTAACTTAGCTTCGTATGTAAATCTGTTTAAATCTGTATTCATTTGTATATATGTTCTACGTATCTGATGAACCCGGGAAGATGAGCCCCAAGGGTATCTCAATTAACTCAAACTCTTATTCTTAATGATGTTCTCCTTTACTCAACTTCCAAATGCTGTAACAATGAAATCTGAGGCAGTTACCATTTCTTCATTAATAATAAAAATTACATCATGATTTGCAAAATTGTCATCTAATTACGTGAAGTATCCACCTACTTACATATACCAAGAGGTTGATGACTTCATATACCTTCGTCATGTGCACTTGGGTTATCAGAAATATGCTGCTGTATATAGTTTGACTTTTACTTTGCTGGTATGTGGCTGTGTATAGAAACACACATTACACAAGTACAAAAATTTTTCAACATAGTCACGATGCTTATTGTGACATACATGTAATCAACCCTTACATATTCACTATTAGAATAAATTCAGCTTAAAAAAGAGCAGTTACCCCAAATTAAGATCAATAGCAAGAATTCACATAACTATCTCAGCGTTCTGGTTGATACTATAAAAAAATATGTCCCTACATATCCATTATTAATGTAACTTCAGTTTAAGAAAAAAAACTTACCTCAAGCTTAGGTCAATAGCAAAGTCGCACAAACAAACCCAGTGTTCCGGGGACAAATAGAGAACACACTAGACGCTCCATTGCCCTGACACTACAAAATATCACCACTGCAAAACCATGCTGGCATGCCCCCATCTGTTCCTCCCCAGGGACTTAGTCTGTTCTCAGCTGGGGAAGGGGGAGGGGGTAAATACCTAGACCTACATTCGAAGCATGTCAAACCTAAAAGCGCCACCACAATGCCTTAGAAACTCAAAGTCACTAGAATGCCCAATTTCAAACATTTAAAAACTTCTTTTTCCACACTACAAGCTACCTACAAAAAACTGTAAAAAACCATTCACAACATCAAACGTTATCCCGTCTAGTAACATTCCATCATACAAATGACTACAGCAGCTCTAAAAAAAGCAGCTACTTTGCTGAAAACCACACCAGACACTTACTGTCCAAGCATCTATGTCTCAGTAAAAAATCAAGACAATAGCATGTCCACAGCACAAGATATCATTCCCATGTACCCCGCTGCAATACCTTACAAAATTGCCAGAGTACCCAAAATTGACCTTGACCTTCTTTTTCCCAACCCCATCCTACCTACCAAATATAATACCCAACCCCATCCTACCTACCACCACACCCCAAGTTATAACCGATTGAAAAAATCAGCAACACCTATGTATGGTGTACCTAAACGCATAACCTTCTGACGAAGGTAAAAAATCATGATCCATCAACCTGTTCTTGAGTTATCCTCCTTCAAAGATTTAGAAACAAATGCTCCTGTAGTTCAACAACAAGCTGCTAGGGGGCCCAATCTTACATTAATTACTCCCAACCCCAAGAGCTTTCTACTACTTAAAAAATCATGAACCTGACACTGAAAATTTGATCTCAAACTTTGAAGCTCTGCTACAGTACCAATTTTTGAACTTGACCTTCATTTTTGCTGCCCCTATCCATCTACTAAATATGCTTAACAACCATGCACTGCATCTACAGTAATGTACACAAACACACATACACACACAAATATACAAAAGTAACGCCCTCTGCACTGGTGTTCCAGTGCTGAATCAGCAGTCGAATTCCAGTGCTGAAAAAAGTTCAGCACTGGATTTACGGCTGTTTTCCAGAGCTGAAGCTCCCTCAACACTGGAATTCCAGTGCTGAACATTGTCTCAGCTCTCGGATTCCAGTGCTGAACTCCTTTCGCGCGGCAGAGCCAGATCAAAGGTAGCTCAGCACTGGGTCCCCAGTGCTGAAACCGCCGTCAGCACTGGAACCGAGTGCTTGTATATGTCACAGTAGAGATGGAAATCCAGTAGAGTTGGCATCTCTACTAGTAGAGATGGGAATCGTATTTATATGATTCTAGCAGGGCACAGTCATATTATTGGAAAATAGACTGAATATTTTCACACCTCACTCATTACCCAACATCACTCAATAGCTGTTTGTACATGCCACTGAAATGTAAAACAGAGACATTTGCATCAGGCCATTATGAGTTAGAGACTCAATGTGCACGTGCTAAACCGGTTTGTCCAGTTAGTTAGTGACTGGGTATATAAGAGCTAATCAGTCATACCAAGCCAGTTCCAAAGTTGATGTCAAAGTGAACAGAAGATATGGCAGATGATGAGCAGCAGAAAGCAGAATTGAACTACAGACTGGTTGAAGAACAGATCAGCAGCCTTGAGCAATTTATGAAGCAATTTAATTAACTAAATTTATAGTAATTGTGACCTTATAATATGATAAATTTGAAACTTTAGGTGTTCAGTCTATTTTAAAAAAAATTGTTCCTTGCTAGAATTGGAGAATATCCTGGTCTAACTCAAAGAATTCCCATTTGTCCTATAAAGATTAAAATTCCAATGTCTGGTAAGAGAATCTGGAACACTCCTAGTAGATATTGGAGTAAAAACACCAGAATTCCCATCTCTACTAGTAGAGACTGGAATTCCCATCTCTACTAGTAGAGTTGGGATAGTAGAGATTGGAACTCAGTAGTATAAATACTAGGATTCCCATCTCTACTAGTAGAGTTGGCATCTCTACTAGCAAAAAATGCACAATCTCACGTCTCATACCTTCGCCAAATGATGTTAATTTTTATTAAAGATTAACATCATTTGGCGAAGGTATGAGATCGTGGAAAAATTATGACTGACAAAGATGATTCCTTCTGATTATGGAAATATGATCCTCATTTGTATTATATTTATATTATAATATTGTATTATAATATTATTATATAGTTGATCATATTCTCCGCCAAAAGACAGCAGACAGGATGACAAACGCAACTGAAAATATAACTTCTATGACATTTCATGGAGGTAAAAAGAGCTAGTGTCTCAGAGGGCAGGATGGGCTAGAGAATACCAGGTCCTGTGAGTTAGGAAATCTACTACTAATAAATACTTGCATATACTCCATTCTATCAAACAGCTGGCTTGTCTTAACAATTGTTTTTGTTGAGTCCTAGAAATAATGCCACCACAGAAGAGTGCAAGCACAAATTACTTTGAAATGAAAATGCTCATATTTTGGCCCTAACAATTGAGGAAGTCCAATTGTCTTCCTAAGTATTAACAATTTTTCCATCTAACAATGCAACAAAGTTCAAAATTCATTGTTTAAATCATAAGCCAGCCTGGTATGTTGACTTTATGGCTCCTATTGTAGCATCTGGAGATATAATACAAATGTAGGAAGCCTGTACATGTAGGCCCTATCATTTACCTTTTCCTAGAAGGTTGTGTTTTTGTGGCTGTGCATCTGTGTGTGTGTCAACAGCATAACTCAAGAAGGCTTAGATGGATTATCTTGATACTTGGTAGGTGGGTAGGTCTTAAAATAAGACTGTTATTGGATGGAGAATATGAACAACTGAATATATGTATTCATGCACAATAATAATCTTATTTGCATAATCAATGAGACAATGAAACATTTCTAAATCACAAAGGCTACCATTATTTGATAAAGGCATGGGTTGTAGAACTCTAGTTTCATATTTTTTGTGACAAAAATCCAAGAATCAACAGATCCAAATGATGTAGTGATGCATACCGGTTCACTGGACTTGGATCCGGACTTATTACCATAAAAGACCATTTCACATACCCCTTTTCTTTCCAAACCACCTAAAACCTTCCGTAGATTGTAAACTCTTTGTTGCAAAACGAAGAAAACATTGCCATCGGGCATCGTCAAGTACCGGCCTCCTTGTTATGTGGCCAAAGTTTCACCCAGACAACATTGCAAGGTTGCCAACATGCAATTTTGTATATGCCATGGGTTTAGGTCCGGACTTACAAGTCATGTTCAGATGGTAGTGACCATCTGAAGGAATTGAACAGGAAATCTCGCGAGACTGATGAATTCACGAACACGTGACCTGCACAGGAGGCTGCTGGGACATCGCTTCAGTGCGTGGGGTATTCGTTGGTAACAGTGCTGACAGATCTGACAAACCCGAAGGACGCCACCACTTGGACAGCACTGCTGATCGGTTTCTTCGCCTATCTGAGAAGATCAAATCTGGTGCCCACGTCCTTCAACGCCTTCAATACTTCCAAGCACCTCCGGCGTGGTGATATCTGCCACACTGAGGAAGGTCTACTCATCCGTCAGACATGGTCCAAAACCATCCAAGCCAACGAAAGAGACCTTATCGTCCCTCTCCTTACGATCCCAGGCTCCCCACTGTGTCCGGTCGCCGCCTACGCCAACATGCTACAACATTGTCCGGCACCAGCGGAGGCACCAGCCTTCCTTCTACCAACCGTCGTGCGCCATCAATATCGACCGATGACGGCTTCGATCCTCACTAGAGAACTAGCCCGGTTGGTACAGAAAGCAAGGCCTCCCCAAGGGCTACCACACTCTACACGACTTGCGTCGGGGAGGGTATACATTAGCGTTCGAGGCGGGCGTACCGCGGGAACTACGGAAGCAACACGGTGACTGGAGATCTGACGCCGACCTCCTGTACCTTCGGCCATCAGTTGAACAACGACTACGCGTACCCGCCGGGATGCGGCACCTCATCCTGCAGCGTTCGTGACTCGCTATCCACTAACTCAGAGTTTCTTGGCGCCTGCGGTCTGGCCTGACATCTAGTGGTGCAATCAGAAACATCAACAAGCATTAAAGATGTCACCGCCAAGCACACTCTGCCTGTTTATTGACTGAGACAATTATGTTCAGATGGTAGTGACCATCTGAAGGAATTGAACAGGAAATCTCGCGAGACTGATGAATTCACGAACACGTGACCTGCACAGGAGGCTGCTGGGACATCGCTTCAGTGCGTGGGGTATTCGTTGGTAACAGTGCTGACAGACCACCGCCGTCCCCACAACAGACTGTCGTTATTTAGATTTTAATTCTGTTAAGTTCACATTTTGTGCACCGGTGTTTCTAGCACATAGTAACATATGTTACCTAGCTACACGTAGATTAGTTTACCTTGTCTCACCCGTATTCTTGTAAGTCCGAAGACTAAGTTTATTTTAAACCAAGTTCAGATGGCTCTGCCACAGTGAACCAGAGTATAACATGCTCTTGAACTGCCTGAGAACGAACTTACGTTTCTCTTATATAATTAGGTCACTTCGTGCTTTATTTAGCTGACCTTTTAATCATGCGCACCAGAACGTCCAGAGTGACATGTTTTACCATTTTCACTGTAGTAGTTCTGAATTTTATCTGTCCGACTAGTCTTATAGTCTACCTATTTTAATAATCACACGTACATTGCTTAGTCTTCTAGTAATGGCCTGTAAATAGTTTGGTCAACGCATGGCCTGAGTGCCAACCGCCCTCTTTTAATTGTGAAATCTGTTAGTATTTACAGCGTTACCTGCTGCCCGCAGCCTTGTACGTGATTTTGAAGTTTATTTTAATGCACCAAGTATTTCTTGTCGTTATCTTAGATATCATTCATGGAGCACTTTTGCACTGTAGTAACTACTCGCACAATGTATTCAGCTTTTCTGCCCTAGTTAGATTTTACTAGTGGCCTGACATCTAGTGGTGCAATCAGAAACATCAACAAGCATTAAAGATGTCACCGCCAAGCACACTCTGCCTGTTTATTGACTGAGACAATTCCTGAGCCGTGATAACCTTCAATAACGGTGTTCTGGCCCGGATCGTACTCTACGGTACGGCCCGGGCTTCCATGGATTGCATAGAATGATTTGAATGTGTTTCACCCTAACCGCGTGCACCGGATTTGTGTTTTGGAGTTGTTTGGGCGTTCTAACTGTTATCACATGGGCTTCTGTGGGCAAATGTTTACAACTTTTGGCACATTTCTCATTGACTTGCATCTTTTTTCT